TTTTCAATTTTCAATTTTTTTTAATATAATAAAAACAATGATTCTAGCTTTTTACCTCTGCTAAATAAAATTAAATAAAAATAAAAAATATAACCAAGAGATGAAAAGAAAAAATGAAGAAGCAAAAAATAAAAGGATAAAACCCCACATAGTTATCCATTACCTCTTTCTAAAACAAACTTACAAAAATAATAATAATAATAATCAAGAGATGAAAAGAAAAAAAAAGAAGCAATAAATAATCCTTATCTCTTTGCTAAAAAACTTTAAATAATAATAATAATAACCAAGAGATAAAAAGAACAAAAAATAGAAGGATAAAAATCCCATATAGTTATTCTTATCTCTCTTCTAAAAAAATATAAAAAATCTCCTCTCACGTTCTTCTTCCATCTCTATAAATAGTTGTATTATTCTCGCTAAAATGAAACTAAAAACGGTGGGGGAAAAAACTCACTGCCCTTGCTCTCTGTTACAACAATATGAATACTTCTCTATATCTTTCTAAAAAAAACTTAAGCTCAAAACCTGTTCATCTACAATTTACTTATAGAGATATGGTATGTCACCAAAATTCTAAAGGTTTTGTTGTCTTTTACTTTAATTTGTTTTCATTAATTAATCCATAGATAAGTTAAAAGTTGATTTTTTTTATTCTCTAACATTTTTCAAGTATGTGTTTTATGTTTTTATTTTGTGTTAATATTGAATCACTTTTTAAAGATCACACAATCATTTCTCCATTTTCATAATGTTTTCTTTTTCAAAGATTTTGAAAAAAAAAAGAAAAAAGAAGCAATGGCAGTGTTGTAGTTATCATCCCAAGAAGTTTGGCATTGAGGGTCATGTAAAAAGTAAGAAGAGGGATGATGATGATGATGATGATGATGATGATGATGATGATGATGATGATGATGATGATGATGATGATGATGATGATGATGATGAAGAAGAAGAAGAAGAAGAAGTAGATGGAAAAGTAGAGAATATGAGAATTCGAATTAATGTGCAAAATTGATTCTTTATGTGTAAGAAGCTGATATTTTTTTAATTTTTTATTTGTATTATTTTTAAATTTAAACGTTTATTTGGTTATTACTATTTTTTTTTTAATTTTGTTCAATTATGATTGTATTTATACATTATTTAATTAAATAAAAACCAAAATTATAAGGTATGCACGGGAATCTCCTGGAAGAAGAGTTTTAGAAGCTCCAAACTTCAAACTAAATTTGTTAATTTTTTTTCAAAATTTTAATCAATGAGTTTTGAAAGCATAAAAATTTCAAATTAAAATTTTCAATTTTTAATTACCTAAAAAATCTATTTTTTAGTTCCTTTTACTACAAGAATTTACACTTTTAGCGACCACTTTCCGTGACCAATATAAAAGTTGGAAGCTAAAAGTTACCTTTTGGTGACCATATATGAGTTGGTCGCAAAAGGTATATTTTAGCGACCAAAAAATGAGTTGGTTGCAGAAAGTGGTATGGTTTTGGCGACCAACTACAAATTTGGTCGCGGAAGGTCACATTTTGGCGACCAGAAAATAAGTTGGTTATGGAATTGGCGACCAAAAGTTTGGTCGGCAAAAACTTATTTTTAGCGACAAAAAATATTTTAGTTGTCATATATTGAGTTTTGACTACTAAAACAATGTAGTCGCCGAATGGAAAATAAAAATTTATTTTTTATCTTTTCGCGACCAAAATTTTGGTCGCTGAAAAACTTATTTTTAGCGACTAAAAATATTTTAGTTGCCGTATATTGAGTTTTGTCTACTAAAACTATTTAGTCGCCGAATGGAAAATAAAAAATTATTTTTTATCTTTGGTGACCAAATTTTGGTTGCCAAAAACTTATTTTTTAGCGACGAAAAATATTTTAGTCGCCGTATATTGAGTTTCGGCTACTAAAACTATTTAGTCGCCGAATGGAAAATAAAAAAATTATTTTTTATCTTTGGCGAACAAAAAAAAATTAGTCGTCATATATTTATTTTTTCCGATCAAAAAAAAGTTAGTCGCCAAATTAATATTTTTTGGCGACTAATATTTTAGTCGCCGTTAATTAAGCTTTGGCTACAACAAAATTTTAGTCCCCACTTATTAACATTTGCCGACCAAAAACTACTTTTGTCGCCAAAGGTGTAAAAATTTTAGAGGGAAACCATTTAATATTGTCCCTGCTTATTCTCTGTTTAAACAAATCAGATTGTTCTCTCTCTTACACAGATTGGGCTTACTGTTACTGCGGTTGACTTGATCTGTGCGTTGAAAATTGAATTTTGCTCTGTTTCTTATTATGCATTTCTTTTGATGGAATTGATGGAATCTGAAGTACAAGAAAATACACAATTGCCGACTAAAAATATTCTGGTCGTAAAAAATTGACATTTGCCGATCAAAAAAAATTTCATAGCTAAAACTTGACACTATAACCGACTAAAAATATTTTGTTGCCAAAAAGTGATTTTTAGTGACCAATTTACTATTTTTGTCGCAAAAAAATTTCATTCGGCGACAAAAAAAAAAGTGGGAATGAAAAACTTTTAGCGACTAAAATATTTTGGTCGCAAATAATAGCATTTGCCGACCAAAAACCAATTTTGTCACCAAAGGTGTGAAAATTTTAGATCCCCCGCCTGTTCTCTGTTTAAACCAATCAGATTGTTCTCTCTTTCATATAGATTCTCCTTCACCACCAAACCTCACCCCACCCCACCTCACCTCACCTCACCTCACTATCAACGTTGCCGTCCGTCGTTCTCGCCTCTCCACTATTACCACTGTATGTTGCACTCTAGGCCCTTTTCTTATACGCAAGCCGTAGCCCCTTTTCTTATGCATTGTTCCTTCGATGTTGTCTCTCTTGATATCATTCTCTCTGTTTCAAGCTCTCTCCGTTGCCATGGTGATTTGAAGAACAAGAGCGGTATGAATCTCTCTCTCTCACACACACAATCTCTTTCTCTTTCTTAATCTACCTATAAATACTTATAAGTGTCAAAAGTTGTGGAATTGGCAACCAAAAATTATATTAGTCGGGAAAAGTACAAGATTTAGCTACTAATTCTTTTTAGTTGGGGTATATTGATTATTGACGACTAAAAATATTTTAGTTGCTAAAAATTGCACAATTGGCGACAAAATTTTTTTTTAGTCGCTGTATAGTTAGTTTTGGCTACTAAAATTATTTAGTTGCCGAACGAAAAATAAAAAATTACATTTTATCTTTGACGACCAAAATTTTGGTCGCTAAAAATTTATTTTCAGTTACTAAAATATGTTTTAGTCGCTGTACAGTTAGTTTTGGCTACCAAAATTATTTAGTCGCTGAATGAAAAATAAAAAATTACATTTTATCTTTGGCAACTAAAAATTTGGTCGCCAAAAATTTATTTTCAGCAACTAAAATATGTTTTAATCATTGTACATTTAGTTTTGGCTACTGGAATTATTTAGTCGCCGAATGAAAAATAAAAATTTTAATTTTATCTTTGGCAACCAAAAATTTGGTGGCCAAAAATTTATTTTCAACGACTAAAAAATATTTTTGTCACCAAAACACTAAAATATTTTGAGGAAGTCATTTCAAATGATTTATAAAATTAATTGGCGACGAAATTTACTTTTAGTCGCCAAAGGTGTGAAAATTTTAGAGGGAAATAACACCCGCCTGTTCTCTGTTTAAACAAAAACAGATTGTTCACTTTCTAACACAGATTTTCCTTCATAACCAAACCTCATCTCTCTTTAAACCCATTCCTCTCCCTCTTTAAAATACGCAGAACAGAACCACCGCCTCTCCTTCCCTACGGCGACGCGCCTCCTCCTCACCTACTTTGCCACTAGAACCACCGTCTCTCCCTACATCTTCTATTTCATCTCTCTCTCTCTCTCTCTCTCTCTCTCTCTTACACACACACACACACACAGTTCTGATCATAAAACCCTAGCCGATGGTGCGAGATACGGCGGCGTCAACCATGTTCCGGCGTAGGTCTGACAACCGTAGACCGAGATTTGAGTCGATCCACACAAATCTGTGAGTGATCCACACAGATTGCAGATCCACACCCCATCTCTGTTACAGCTAATTACCCTTTCCATGGAAGTAGTAGAGTCTTCTTCTTCATCTTCCCTTTCTGTATCGGACATAATTCATCAACTACCTGGCCAACCCCAAGTCAGTTACCAGCAATTTTCTGGGTATGTGACCGTTGATGCCAAGAAACAGAAAGCTCTGGTTCTTGAAGCTGAATCAAATCTGGCTTCCAAGCCTCTTGTTATCTGGTTAAATGGCGGTACTCCAACTTCTTACTTCCTCATACACACCCACATTATGGGTATTTAGTTTTAATTTTAATTTTTTAAAATTTTGATTTTGATTTTGGTGGCAGGGCTTGGTTGTTCTTCATTGGGGGTTGGGGCATTCTCTGAAAATGGACCGTTTAGGCCTAGTGGGAAGGCACTGGTCAGGAATGAATATAGCTGGAACAGAGGTACTATACTATACTATACTTTATGAAAAATCTAGAAATCCCTTAGATGTTGATTTGTGATTATGTATCAATTTTAAGCAGAATATAACAATCCCAATCAAACAATCAAGAAAAAGAGACCCAACGATTTTACGTGGAAAAACCATAATTGGACACCTCCAACTGTGATAAAAAAACCACGGGCAACAGCCACAAAAACAATCTCCTAAGAAGATTTAAAGGAATTACACAGGTATACTCTCAATTACCTAGCGAATCCACGCCTAATTGAACCAACCTCTATGTGCCTCTTCCAACCCGTCTTCACCTTGGAATTGTTTTTACGATAAGCCACTCCGGAATCCACCAAAGTTTCAGGCTTGAATTTTTCAGAATCCACCGAAAAACAACTCTCTCTTTTGTAGAACAAACAAACCTTTGATGTACTCTCTTTAAACCATGAGTTGAATACTTAATAAAACATAAAAAAAAACTAACAAAATATCTCCAGATATAAGCCTTAGAATCCAAAAAGAAGATCTGGAGGACTTCAGGAGTAGTCTAGTTTTGGGAGAAAGCCAACTACTTATAGAAAACCAAAAGTAATCCTAGATTTGGAAGAAAACCCAATCCTTATTGAAATTCGAAAAACTGTGTTCGCACGGTCCGCTCGAGCGCCCAACATCCCGCTCGAGCGTCTTCAGCAAAATATGCGCATGGTATAACAGAAGTCCGCTCGAGCTCTAGAGAATCCGCTTGAGCGCGAAATCACATAGCTTAGTACTTTTACAGGTGACCAAAACTGCTTGAACCAGGGATTCTCCGCTCGAGCGGGGGAATGTCCGCTCGAGTGGATAGGCAACTTTGAAGGCAATTTTCCATTTTGCTTCGGGGCGTTGCCCCTCAATCCCGCCTGGGCACTGCGCCGAACTCGCCAAGGGGCGCTGCCCCCTGGACCCCCGCGAGCTGACCGGGCAGCTCAATCCCCGTTATAAATCAGCGAAGTGGCAATCTTGAAAGCATTAGCATCACAAACTTCTCTGAAAGGTACAATTCGGGTTGGATTCGCATCTAAAAACTCATAACCTCACTGAAATAAAAGTGCAAAAATAAATACAACTGAAAAGAGTTTTGTCAAACGGGATTGCCAAGAATAAAAACCTAACACTTTATATATACCCTTACAAGTTATATAGATGATTTGGCTTCTAAGAATTGATTTCATGTGATTGTGTGCTTATTGATCCACAAAAACAAATATGTTGTATTTGGAGACACCAATTGGAGTTGGGTTCTCTTACTCATCTGGTTCTTCCTCCTATGCGGCTGTAAATGACAAAATCACAGGTATGTTTGTCCAATTTTACCCACATTTTCCCAACTTTCTTTAATTTTCTTGAAATTGTTTTCTAAAAACATTTATCTTCTTTCTATGCTCAAAATACAGTCAACTTGTTCTTCTTCTTTTACACTTTTCATTGTTTAGTAATAAGAATCCTATAATGGTTTAGTACTGAATACTATGTAAACTTTTCACTTTTTTGTCATTTTTATGTTTACTGTTTTTGTTTTCTTTTTGGGGGTTGAAAAAAGTCCCACTTTATACACCGCCTTGGAATTTTAGAACTTTAAATCTAATTGTCTGAAATTTTTTGTATTATAGCTGGGACAATCTAATTTTCTTGCACAAATGGTTTGTTAAATTCCCACAATATAGAAACACAAGTTTGTTCATTGCGGGAGAAAGCTATGCTGGTAATTTCTTTTCACTCAAAACAATTTAGTTTTTCCAACTAGAAAACGATTAAGATTAAGAGTTGAGGACTGACACTTACTTTTTCTTTGCTTCCACACCTCATCTTTGTCTTGATGGTCGTGTTACTGGTGGTGGCATTGCTAGTTTGTTAATTGCTGCTAGCCCAATCCCAGTAAGAATTTATCTACATATATACACTTGTGATTCTTACTTTCAATTGCATACTAATTATGATAATTGAGCACTGTTCTGCTAGATGTTAAATAAGATGGTGAATCATTATGTGGAGTGATTGTAGCATGCTATGAGAAACCAAGGTTCTGCTTGGATTAATGCATTTCAAATGAAGAGATTTCAGATTAAACTTTATAAAAATATGGGAGTGTTGATTATTATATATAGATTGACAAAAGGGGAAGATGGAGTAGAGTAAGAAAACAAAAATTTAATTGTAAATTACCCAATAAGAAAATAATAGAAAAGAGAGAGAAGAGAAAAATAGTCATTTCTGAGTAGAGTAATGAAATTCTCTCTACTCCAGTCCTATGGTAAAAATATTTTATGTTTCCTTCCTTCCTGGATCAAAAAGATGTGCTTTGGACCCAGTTTATAATTTTTGTGCACGTCTTTATAGTAAGTCGTTAATAGCTTCAAGATGATGCCAACCATTCTGTCATGTACAAACTTCGGTTGGCAATTTATTTGGTTCAGGTATGAAGCTTTTCTTAAGGTTTCAACATTTTGAATATTATATAAACAACTAAATTAAAAAGTCATCTTGTGGCTTCTCACTCACAGTGCTTGTGTTCACATTTAACTAGTAGTGTCTTCACATCAAATCACGGAACTACATGGTGTTTGACATTATGAAAAATTCCTGTAGTGTTGATTGTTTCTTTTTCCATTTTTAATTGTGTGCATTCATATATGGAAATCATAAGATTTTTTTCTATTAATTTGCCTTGTGATTGCAACATCTGCCTAAAAGTGCTAGGATGTTTAACTAGGGACAATTACTTGACAGTTGGTCAGTGGAAAAAAATTACAAAATTAATAAAAAAAAAGTTTATAATATTGATTATTGATGTGTATAATGTTTTTCACTTTTTGGTAAATAAGTGTAACTGACACAATGTCAGTGTAATTCTCCCATTTAACTAAATTTCAGTTTCTTATAGACACCACAAGAGTTGCAGAATGAGAATGTTCCCCCTCATCTTATCCCACGCAAGGTAATTTTCCTCTCACGACATGTAGTCTCTTACTTTCCGTTGAAAGTATGTTCCTAATATTCATATTGTCTTTCACAGACCTTTGGCAATCGGCCTTCTTTTAGCCTTCTGCTTCTATCATTAAATGCTTATAATAATGGACAGGTGAGGTCTAGTCTCACCTTTTTGTGCTTTCATGAAATAGTTTGTGCATGTTGCTAATCATCGGAGGTTTTGAGAGTTCAAATTTGTTCAAAACGCCCCTTGTCTTTATAGCCCATTTAGTGGTCTGAAATTCCCAGATGTCCATTGAGGTTACATGCATAATGTACATAGAATCTCTGTTAAAATTGAAAAGATGATCATGCTTGTTTTGATAGTGACCAAATCCAGAAGTTTTGTAGTGAGAATCTTACAACAAATTATAATCTTGTAGTGAGACTATTATAACAAATCTAGACGTTGCCAGATGTCCACTAGTTTTCAAGGAAGGTCCGTGAATATTAGAATCTTATAACAAATTATGCCTTTTTTATGGCATTCTATACAGTGAATTCTGTAATCTACTGATCTACAATTTATTATAAGTATTTTCTGGCTGCACTCTATTAAGTTAGTAAACAGAGAATTTGTTAAAAAAAGACTTCATATTTTCTAGAATTATTTAGGTTATGTTTGGATCGTGAATTTGGATAGGAATTTGAAAGGGAAAGGGAAAGGAAAAGGTGAGGGAAACAGAGAAAAATGTGGGTGGTTCTTTAGGACTTGAAAATTGTGGAGTTGGTGGGACTCTGGTTCTTTATTAGGACTTGAAAATATAAATTAATATATTTTAGTAGTTGTGTGCACTCAAGTTAATTATTAGCTGTCACTGCATTAATCCGTAATCCTATAAGAATAAGGCATCCTTGACTCTTGAAAACCTGGTAATCATTTTCACATTATGATTTTGTATACAAATGTTTTGTCATTTTTTTTTTTTTGGAATTTTTTCTTAACATGGAAATGTTATTTTTTTTTCTTTTAGTTTTGGTGCAAGGAAATTGATTAGATTTATCTCACATTCATCATCATTTCATGTTAACATTAGGAATGGTGTGAAAAACAAATGGAATTCTCTCTACTGTTTGGCAAACCAGAAAAGACTAAAGCAATGAAAGCTGGTATTGCTCGCCATGCAGTACTTGAGGAAGAGGTATGCTTATGAACTCTAAAGTAGATATCATTTAAATTATTTGATATTCTTAGTTTATCCCGAAAATTATAGAATTCTTTCATGTGAGCATACTCTTTGTTGACTATGACTATCAAAATTCTTATCTATGCTTGTAAAATAGTTTTTTTTCTGAGATCATTCTATCATCTTCTTGACGAATTTATTTTAACTATGACAGTTAGTTTAGTTGTTTTCTATCATTGAAATCTTGTTAGAAAATTTTCTTGCAACAGAAGTAACTTTTCAAGATGGAAAATACTTTTTATGAACAGAATGGTACCAAGATTTAGAGTCTGTGTGAGGTTACACCTTTTTTTGTTTTTGAAAAGTTCTGATAGAATTTAGCTTTTATATCTTTTGCCTTGCATAATAAATATGGTCATGGAGCTGCTCGGGATTTTCTATAGATGGTATTTGGATTGAGTAGTTTTGATTTGAGTGAAACCATTGTTGGATTTTATGACCGAAGTACATGGACTTGAAATAACAAGTGAGTGACCTAGGCCTAGATCATAACAGTCACCTAGGCCTAGATTAAACAAACTTGTGAGAGCAAGCGGCGCATCGATAGGATATACGGTTAGAGATATAGACAAAAAAATGTGAGAGAAAAAGGAAAAAACGAGCCGTATGGGGGCGAAAATTGGAAATAGCACCCAAACAGCCCCGAGATCATCATAGTCACATCGGCGTAGATTAAACACATTTGTGAGAGCAACAAAACATCACTTTTTCCACAATTCCTGAAATAGTAACAAAAACAAACATTTCTGTAGAGAACAATAAAAAAAAGCCTTATTTGAGTACAGACCACAAATGAAAAAGTCTGGGGATATGGTTGGTATTAAAACTAGACGACAAACATTGCAAATGATGATATTGATAGAATTGTAGTGTTGATTGGATATATACATATGAATGTTGTTTTATTTATAAAATAGTATTGATAGTCATTTAATTTGTTCATATTACCTTTACTTTTCTTTGACATTTTTCATTTTTTGTCCAATTTTATAATCATTTGATGTGAAAATATTTTCATAAAAAAAGTACCTGACAATATTTTTGTTTTTCGTTGGTATAGATGGATGAACTCATACATTAAGCTGAATTGTACAGGATTAGTTGGCACTTGTTACATTTTTTAAAGGATTATATATTTTTGGATAGATGTGTATAGAAAATATTTGGATAGACTAGTAGTTATATTTTTAGATAGATGAGCATGGATTAAAATTTACAATATAATAACAAGTACTTGTTATGTTTTAAATTTTTTATGCTAGATAGATGTGAATTGGATGATTATATAGATTACATGACTTTTAATTGAATGGTTATGTAGTTTAGAATTACTTGTGGATGGAAACTTATAATAATTGATGACTTTAATTAAACAGATTAAGGATTTGATGATTTATGTATTTTGTTGGATATTCATGTTTCAGTTGATTTTGTTGGTTTAAATGATTCTTGCAAATTACAGGTTATATTGAATGGATTTGATGGATTATTATATTTTGATAAACAAAAAGAATTGAATTGGCGACTAAAAATTGGTTTTGTTTTCCCTCTTTTGGCGACCAAGTGATTAGTCGGGAAAGATGAGTAATATTTTTGCCGACTAAAGTTGTTAGTTGGTGTATGGCCACTCACATTTGGGGACCAAAATGTTGGTCGGCAAAAGGGTATATTTGGCAACTAAATAATTAGTCGGTCAAATTATTAATTTTAGCAACCAAAGAGTTTGGTCGCGAATAGGTCTATTGCCGACTAAAGTTTTAGTCGCTCAAACATTATTTTTGGCGACTAACGGATTTGGTCGGGAAATGTTACTTTTGGCAACTAACCGATTTGGTTGGGAAATGTTATTTTTGGCAACTAACATGTTTAGTCGAGGAATGGTATAATTAGTGACTAACATATTTAGTCACTAATTACTTTTCGCGACTCTCAATTGGTGACAAAAAAATGGCAAAAGTGTGAATTCCTGTATTGTTTGCTCCTTTGTCAATATACCACAAATAGTTAAATATATATTGGTTTGAAGTCACATTACACATTAAAAATTGTTAAAAATTGATATGATATCATGATTTATACTATTATTAGAAATAAGCTCTTAAAACAATTAAACTATCTAATTGATTTACTTGTTACAATTTAATCATAACTTTTCGCCAAAATTTAAAATAATTTTAAAACTATTTGTTTAAAAACACCTATTATTAGAAATACGTTCCGTTTGTTTAGAAATAAATGGATGATAGAAAATAAAATTGGTAGAAAGTAAAGTGAAAGAAAGGGAAAAGACATAAAAATTTATTTTTTTGCATGCATTTAAATAGATGAAATTTTTTGTAAGAAAATGATAAGAAAAAATATAATCAATGTATAACAAGGAGTTGTATAGCCTAACTAACAAGTTAATTTGAATTGTATAGGAAATTTTAGTTTTCATTACTTTCGAGGACTCTCTATCTGAGAAAACACATAATTTTTTTTTTTTTTTTTTTTTTTTTTTTTTTTTTTTTTTTTTTTTTTTTTTTGACCTTTATGTATTATCTATATAACCAAATTGAGGTTTAAAATTGAAAATATTCCATTAAAAGTTGAAACTACTGCACAATTTCAAAATCTCCATCAAAATATCCAATTCTTTAGAATCTAAATTACATTCATTGATGTGGATTTTGTAGAAAAATAAGTTTGACCTTTGAATTTTGAATTTAAACAAAAGCAATTATTATAAAATTTTGGATTTCCATAAAAGATAATTTAAATAGATTTGTTCACTTTTTCAATTTTTTTCTCTTCAAATTCCAAATGCAAACACGACTTAATAATTTTTTGAGTGATTATGTAGCCAAAAAAAAGATGTTAGTTGATAATAAGTATTTTTTTTTTCCTTGATAAGTTTTATAAAATCGATAAACATGTTGAGATATTTTAGAAAGATGGTTAAAAGTTAACTTTTGGCTTTTAACTAAGCTTTTGACTTTTTTAGAAAAGTGATTTGAGAAATTGGTAAAAAGTTACTTTTGACTTTTTTGATTAATATTTGTTTATGATGTCACATCATAATAAAATGACTAAATTATCCCTACCTAATGTAGAAAATTTATATTTTTACCCACGTAAATATAAAAAAATATAAAGGATATAATTGTAATTTTATATGTAGTTTTTTTAGATTTGTCAAATGACTCCTTGCTAAAAAAATATATTACATTTGAAAATTAAGATTGCTTGAATCTTCAAGACCTTTTTGTGTAGAGATATTCTCATCGAAAAAGAAGTATGAAACTACTTTATTTATTGCATTCAAAAAAAAAAAAAAACTTTATTTATTATTCCATGATTTATGACCCATGTTAATTATTATAAGAGTAATGTTAAAGATCTTAAAAAATTTATTAAATTTTTATCAAATATCTTGCATGAGTGTCGAATCTACACAATATGAATCCCATATGAGACATTTAATAAATTTTTTAAAATGTCTAACATTTTACTATTACAATAAAGTAAGATCCTGATTGAGAGGATGAAATAAATATGGTGGGTGGCATAACCCACCATCCTTAAGTTACATTCAAGGGATCCACCATTGAAGTTGCACCACATTTGCATTTGAATTTGAATTTCCATTTGCATTTTTTCTTACAAACAAATACATGTATATATGACTTCACCATTTGAAGAGTGAGAGCTTGAAATGATAAAGGGTTATTTTGGGAAGATGGTAAAAAGTGATTTTTTGGCTTTTAACTAAGTTTTTGGCTTTTTTAGACAAATGATTTGGGAAGTTGGTAAAAAGTGACTTTTGACTTTTTTTATTAATGTTTGTTTATGATGTCAAATCATAATAAAATGACCAAACTACCCCCATTTATGTAAAATATTTACGACTTCACCTATGTAACACATTTTGACCCATGAGGGTAAAATTGTAATTTCACCGTTGGCTAAAAACCAACTTCTCAAATGAAAAAAAAAACAAAAAAGCCAACTTTTGACTTTTGCTACAAACCAAAAAAAGTGACTTTTAGCCAACTTCCCAAAATAGCCCAAAGCCCAATTCTATGACAAAGACAGACATGATTATAATCAAAAGTTGTATTGAGGTGCGATTTGGTAAATGTTTTTTCAGTAATTTTTTTTAATTTTTTCAAGACGTTAAAAAGTCAATGTATTTATTTATTCTTTCTAAAGAGCCTCTCGAAAAGAAGGCTGTTTGGATTCGCAATTTAGACCAAGTTTGACAATTAAAAAATAATCTATCTTTTTATCTTTTTTTCATTACATCACTTCTCTACTTTTCTGCATATCTTTTCGTAAAAAGACAAAAAATACATTTATTTAGGTCATTCCAAACAACCCCTTAATATACAAATTTTATCGCATATAATATATATATATTCTTGTCCCAAGCAAGACCTCCCTTCTTCTACTATCAAAATAAATAAATAGCATTTTGTTAAGGATTTTCACTGGAACCATATTTATTTATTTATTTATTTATGGGTTGGTGGATACATAAGGGCCCAATGACTACAACTGTGCGATAGCATTTAAAAAAACCAACAAGATTACTTATAATTTTTTCCATGTATATTTCATATTTGCCAGATAAAAGCTAAGATGAGTGAGGTTTTATGTTCCAGTTTATAAAGAGCCGTTGGCTTACGTTATAATCTAATTATTAATGTACTAACACTATTTTAATATATATATATTTACAAAGAGGTACTTTTTGATAAATTCTTTTTAACTTTTTATGTTTCATTTAATTCACATTATTTTTTCATATTCCAATAAGTCTTATGGGTGACATACTTATCAAAATACCCCTAATAATATTTACATTTACAGTGTGAATGTTCCGTAATGTGAATATTCACACCGTCAATGTGAATGTTCACACCATCAATGTGAATGTTAATATGTCAATGTGAATGTTCACACTGCCAATGTGAATATTCACATTGTAAAATATGAATGTTCACATCACCAAATTGCTAACTGTTCAAAAAATATTTGTAAGGGTAGAAATATCCATAAAATAATTAGGATTGAATAGATCAAATATTCAAATAATAAGACTTATTAAAATGCAATAATATTTTATATATTAATTGGAATATAAACACTTAAAACAAAAATTTTCTAATTGAATCATCCTAATTTATATTTATTTGTTACAATTGATGCCCATTCATTGGGCAACTTGGGATCATCTTAAATATAAAATGACTTTGGGCTTGGGCCTATAAGTTCAATATCCTGTGAAATGTAAACCTGGTTTATTTGATAGTATAATTAAATATTGTGAGCAAGACACGGCACTGGCCCTCCTTGAATCTGTTTGGCTAAATCATGAATTGCTAAAGCCTCAGGTCAGGGGTTACTTAAAACAAAAATTTTCTAATAAATCTCCCCTATAAATATGTACTTGAATCATCCTAATTTATATTTATTTGTTACAATTGATGCCCATTCATTGGGCAACTTGGGATCATCTTAAATTTAAAATGACTTTGGGCTTGGGCCTATAAGTTCAATATCCTGTGAAATGTAAACCTGGTTTATTTGATAGTATAATTAAATATTGTGAGCAAGACACGGCACTGGCCCTCCTTGAATCTGTTTGGCTAAATCATGAATTGCTAAAGCCTCAGGTCAGGGGTTCGAGGGCTGGTAGAGAGAGGGAGAGAGAGAGAAAATGTGAGGTATTCCAAAATACCTCGTCTTTTATGTTTGGTTCATCAAATATTTTGTTTTTATTTATTTTACGCAAAAATATTCATAATGACCCTTTACATTACATTAAAATTAGCATATTATCCGTGAATAATATTTTATTTATTAAAAATATGATAATTATGTATAATTTTTTTACATTTTGTCTCCCATAAATAAAATTTTATATATGAATTTAAAGATTTTATTTCATATGTTCCTTTGCTATAAGATATATTATGGATATATTAAAGGGAGCTTTTTTGATAAATGCATTTTCTAAGAGTTTTATCCAACCCATGTTCTTTTTGATTATTCCATTAGGTCCAATTTGAGATAAGAAGACCAAAATACCCTTTTCATCTACTTATGTTCCATTTAATTCACATTATTTTCTTATGTTTCAATAAGTCCTATGGGTGACATAATTACCAAAATACCCTTAATGTGAATGTTCACACCGTCAATATAAATGTTTATATCGTCAATGTGTAGGGGCCCGGCTCATGTCGATCCTCGTGGGTGCCCGGAAAAATTCGAGTCGGGCCGGGCCGGCCCACAAGCCAAAAAAAATAGGCCCGACCCGGCCCGTTGATAATATGAATATTCACATTGATAAGTTAACATTCACATTGATAGGAGGGTAAAATTAGCCTGCGGCTCGTGGGCGGCCCGAAACCAGCCTGCTGCCCGGGGCGGGCCCGGGTAGACCCGTTCACAATGTGAATATTCACATTGACATATTAACATTCACATTGATAAGAGTGTAAAATTGACTCGCGTCCTATGGGCGGCCCGGGGCGAGCCCGGTCTGGCCCGTTAACAATGTGAATATTCACATTGACATATTAACATTCACATTGATAAAAGTGTAAAATTGGCCCGCGCCCCGTGGCAGCCGGAAACTAGCCCACGGCCCGTGGGCGGCCCGGGGCGGGCCCGACCCGGCCTGTTGACAATGTGAATATTCACATTGACATATTAACATTCACATTGACAGGAATGTAGAATTGGCCCGCGGCCCGTGGGCTGCCCGAAGCCCGCCTATGGCCCGGGGCAGGCTCGTTT